ATATTTTTCATGGCTTTCTCTGGCTGACTTGGATTCCAATTTATGGCACTGAGATTGTCACAAAACAATGTCATGACATTCTGAGTGACATTGCTCCCTGTATGTTGGGTAGCTTCCATGGACTCCATCAGGTTCCAGTATAACATATCTAGATTTCTATGCTGTCCATTCTTTGGGTGTCCCTTCTTGGCTTGCCTGCCCACACGGCATTTATCACATCCTGTCCTACTATCTGAAGTAAACTTTGAAGTTCCTCTTGCTACTGTTTTGGACATGGTCCTTTCTATTTTTAGAAGATGTTTTCCATTCTCTAGCCACAGTTGATCCTTCTTCTCTTTTTGGGCTAAGCCATTGGGGTACTTCTGGGCTCCTATAGGTAACAGTTGTTCTTGGCTCTGGACCCCCTTATGACTTCCTCACCTTTTTCATTGGTGACAGTACAATTACTCTTAGTGAATTTAACATTAAATCCTTGGTCACAAAGCTGACTGATACCGATAAGATTAACAGTCAGTCCTTTAACCAACATGACATCATCCAGTTTTGGAACACCAGGATAATCTAGCTGTCCAGCACCTGCGATTTCTCCTCTAGCTCCATCACCAAATGTTACATGACTAGATGAATGAGACTTGAGGTTTATCAAAAGATCCTTAATTCCAGTCATATGTCTAGAGCAGCCACTGTCAAAATACCAGTCTTCTTTGGTAGGCATCCTTAGAGAAGAGTGAGCTACTAGAGCCACATTCTTAGCAGCCCATTGTCTCTTCTTGATAGGAACTTCCTTCTTGGATTTAGCATGATGCAGTTTTTTGACATGAGCACCATGTTTGGATTTTCCTTGATGAGGATGATAAGGAAATCCATGAAACCAGAAACAGACAGATTTAATATGTCCAAGTTTTCCACAGTGGTTCCAGTTTTTATTTCTCTGATGTTGAGACATTGGCTGTGACATCCATTTTGACCTCTGAGTTTCAGGCTTTGGCCTTTTGAGCTCCAAGATGGTTTTCTGATTACCAACAAATCCCAGTTCAGCCATGTTTCCAGCTGTCTGACCACTTTGTAGAATTTTTTCTAGAGTGTCAGTCCCAGGATTCAGCATCCTTATGGATTTTGACATTTGATCAAGATTAGATTTCAACAAGCTGGCTTCACTTTTGAGAGACTCTATTGTTGCAAGATGGTCCATCTTCTCAACCTCTAACTCCCTTATGAGTTTCTTCTGTTGCTCTCCTTGCTGATATAATTCTCCACTTCTGTTGCACAACTTCTTATATGAAGCAACAAGTTCATCATAAGTTAGCGCATCTTCACTTGAATCACCATCAGATATACATACATTGTTCAGAGCAGTGACATGTTTTGCAGACTCATCTTCTGATCCACTCTCAGAATCTCCATCAGACCAAGTGACTGCTAATCCATTCTTTTGCTTCTTGAGATAGGTGAGACACTCAGTTTTAATGTGACCATAACCCTCACATTCATAACACTGAACTCCTTTGCCTTGGTTAGATGTATCTTCAGATTTTTCCCTTCTGTTGGTGTCAGAGGAGTTATTCTTGACATATGGCTTAGACTTATGGTCTATTCTTTTGATCAGTTTGTTGAATTGTCTACCAAGCAAGACAATTGCTTCTGACAAATTCTCCTCATTGTCTTCATCAAAATCTTCTTCAGCCTTTGACACAAAAGCTATGCTTTTCTTCTTTTCAGCCTGATCACACATTCTCATCTCAAAGCTTTGGAGAGAACCAATGAGTTCATCCACCTTCATATTGCATATGTCTTGAGCTTCTTCAATGGCAGTGACTTTCATGGCAAACCTTTTAGGCAAAGATCTGAGAATTTTCCTCACAAGCTTTTCTTCAGACATCTTTTCTCCCAAGGCTCCTGAGGTGTTTGCAATATCAAGTATATTCATGTAGAAGTCATGAATAGTCTCATCCTCCTTCATCTTCAGACTTTCAAACTTGGTTGTCAACATTTGCAATCTTGACATCTTGACTTTAGAGGTTCCCTCATGAGTTGTTTTGAGAGTATCCCAAACCTCTTTAGCCAGCTCACAATGATGCACCAGTCTGAAAATGTTCTTGTCTATACCATTGAATAATGCATTCAAAGCTTTAGAATTCCCAAGAGCCAAGGCTTCTTGCTCTTTGTTCCATTCTTCTTTAGGTATAAGCACAGACAATCCATCTTTATCAGGGTTTACTGGATGTTCCCATCATGAGTTTGCAGCTCTCCATGCCTTGCTGTCTAAAGACTTTAAGAAGGCAATCATCCTAGGTTTCCAATAGTCATAATTAGAGCCATCTAGAATTGGTGGTCTATTCGTGAATCCTATGTCTTTATCCATAGTACCAAAATTTAACTTCCCTAGATCTCACCCAGAAAATAACAGGCAGGGTGCCTGCTCTGATGCCAATTGAAATTCTGGCAGGCACACGATGGATGTTATCACGGATGTTATGACATCCACTGTAACAAGACTACTACACTTAATAATAAGTTGTAAATGGAAAGCAGTAAATAACACAAGTAATTGTTCACCCAGTTCAGTGTCAACCACACTTATATCTGGGGGCTACCAAGCCAGGGAGGAAATTCACTATTAGTAGAATTAATTCAGAGTCAAACAATCTCAGTTTGTAATCTTCACTTAAGACCTACCCAATGACACTTCAGCCTAGAGACCACTAGACCAGAGTTTTTCACTCACTCCCCCTCAATCAACGCAGTGATATAAACCAATTCACAATTACAGTGGAGATATGAATACACACTTCAAACACACCTTGATCTTGCTTCACAACTTTGATCAAGAGACACAACCCTCTTGCTTAAAAGCTTTGAGTGGCACAATGAACACAACAGTTCATACACAATAAACCAGTGCAATTATACATCATACAATTGCTTGGCACACAAGGAATCCTAAGACTCCTAGACATACGTGAAGAGCAAACCTCTTCACTCACAAAATCCACTCTTTTATCTCTCTGCTGGCTCACCCTTTATTTAGGTTCATCCTCTTGTTATTTATAGCAGCAGATATCCTTTGGGCCTTTGTGCCGAATTTAGGTTTACCCAAACCTCTCTTCACGAATCTGCATCCTTACCAGTTAGGTCAGAGACATTTTATTTCTCCAGGGCTTCTAAAATGTTTCCTGACTTCCAGCTTGAGCTTCTAAAATATTTCATGTATTCTAGCCTGAGTTTCCTCATTCTAAATACCAGAAAACTAAAACTGCACGCCTGATGTCTTACAATCAATGTTACAGAATCCAATCATGACATCCTACTTCACTTACCCTCCAGAATACTCTTAGTGTATGTCATAACATCAATCATGACATTCATATACACTCTAATGTTTTGCCACAAAATGCAGTCAATCAAAAGCATCTACATCTTTAATCTTGAACTTAACTTGTATCCATGATGTTTTAGTCTTGTTAGAACTATACTTTATGAATATTTAGATGTTGTAACATCTTTGTTATCACCATGTGAGTTTGAAAATTCTTTGAACCTTGAGTATGCTTGGTTGTTACCTTGCTTTTTTTTTACTTTGTCAAGTCTTTGCCTTGGATGTTGTTACATTTATTCTCATGTTTTGGTTGTTACCATATGCTTTTTCGTGTTAAAATTAAAATCATGCTTGAATACCACACTTGTTTCTATCATACTTTCTTTAAACTTTGTTAAGTTGTTTCCTTAAGTGATGTTAGCTTGTTAGCTTTCATCCTTAAGTTACCTTTTATTTCCCCAACCAAATCCAAAAGAAAGTTTCTCTATTGATCCAATGTCATAGATAGTTCAGTCTTATCCTCTTCTCTTGCCTTTGTTAGAGTCATTAAGCCTCTCAACTTATACTTGAGTTAGAACCTACAACCCCTTTTAACTTTTCAAGATCTTAACACATACCTTGTTAGGAGCTAACCTTAGTTAGCCTTTCCACTTAGACTTAAAGAGTTTGTTAACTCTATGATAATATCATGGTTATGAATACTTACTCCCCTTGGAACTTTGACCATAGTCAAGTGTTCTTTACCCTTAGTGAGGTGAACTACGAATGCTCTAATTCCATCTTAGTTAAGATACGTAGGCACGAAATCCGATGTCTTGACGAGCATACTTAGTGCACATACCATAAATATTTAGCTTAACACTTTTTCTTAGCAAGAAGACTTTAGCAGAACATAAATACTAATAAGAGGTTCCTGTAGAATACTACAGATACTTAGGATGCTAACACCTTCCCTAAGTATAACCAACCCCTGAACCTTAGATCTCTAGCATTATTGTTACATAGCACAATTAGCGTTTTCTTCTATCTTTACCCTTTCCTTTGGATAAATCAAAACTCGGTGGTAAACTTCATGATTTGGGATTCAAATTAATTAATAACTTGATATCCGATTCTCACCACAGTAAACTATCATTGATCACGATTGAAATATACCAAGCAAAGAGCTATAAGAAAAATAGAAAAGTAAAGGATACCACAAAATCTTATTAAACAAAAAGGAAACGCGAGATAAAAATATGTTAACAGTTCTAACCCTCTATAGCAAATCAATAGAGTGTAAGTCTGATAATGATGACCATATAAAGGAGAACAAATTTAATTGTTTTATTATAAAATAAAACAAAATAAAGTATTTGGTTAAATTTATATCAATCATCTCTCAACTAAAAATGCTTAAACATAGTGTGTCAAGTTCCATAATCTGCTTTTAAGTCAACGAATTTCATTGATTACTGTAGTCTAGCACTAAATCAAAACTTTCATGCAGTGAAACGATATTAACTAACTATTATAAACATATACTATCAAAAGTAAATAAAACTCATAGGTCTAGTATTAAAAAAGCTGACTATATTAATCCCCTGAGGACAAATCAGAGACATCAGTTTTGATCAGAAAATCTTCCAAGGACAAAGTAACTGTTACCATCAAATATAGAAATTGCATGGAAGAAGCTAATTAGCTAAATAAATGACTGGAATGATGTAGCTAAATAAATGACCGTAAGTTTACACGTTGAAGATGCCCTTGGGTATGAGGATATTATTTTTTTGTTTTTGGAATGCCCACAGTTCCAAATTGTCATGGTTTCTAAAATGCTTGCACTCTTCAAGATATATCTTGCTAGCATAAGCTCATCTGGTAGGCCAAAGAAGTTTAAAAGATTGCAAGTTCTAAGGTTTAATGAAAGGCATTGCGGAACAACATCCGGATCTACCCAATTTTCTCTATCAGTTTTTCTATTCCGTATTTTGTCCAAGTTGGCCTGTTAATAATGCAGATAAAATAAATTAAAACATATCGAGCAACACAACACAACGGAGTTCTATGAAAAGATAAATCAGATATGTTTCTAAACAAACCTGACGAAGGTCAAGCTTTCGAAGCTCAGGGCAGTGATGGAGAACTTCAACTAAGAATTGGCAACTATATCTGATAATATTAAGCTGCAGTTGGGTCAAATTATGAAAAGTAGGAATTAAATCATTCCGGTAATGCACCTAGTTCATATATGAAGAAATCAGGTAAGATTCTCACACACAAAAACAAAGGAAAACAAAATACATATGAATAACATTTTAGTGAGTGTAGTGAACAAACCTGAACAGCTTGAAAGCGTAGAGAGCTCACATTGTAAAATGCTTGTAATGGAAAATAAGAATAAGTGCAATGAATATAACCTGTGGTCAAGTTACTTAAGCAAAAGCTGTCCCACTCGTTACAATTGAGAGATTCATCTGAACCAAATGTTACCCGAGTGAGTAAATCCTCAAGAATTGGACATCCAGTTACAAACAACATAAAATCTCGAAGTTTTGAGAACCAAATATATTTTAAATGAAGGGTTTTGAGAGATGGAAGTGCAACAGAACAACCCTCTTTCACGGCGAAACGAGAAAGCTTGAGAACCACAAGGGTTTTGCAAGTGAGAATGGTGATGGGCAATTCGGGACGTTCCACAGACTTGACACGGAGATAAAGGTCCTCAAGTTTTCGTTGTACCACAAAATTTACCCATTTGTTTATACTGATAATGGGGCTCGGAAGATCATAACTGTATGAAACATTGAAATGGAAACTTTTAATGGGAAGTGTGGCATCTCGCGAAAGCAAAACAGAGTATACGAAATCGTTAAACTTAACACTTGTAATTTGGTCTTTAACTGTCTCGTCGAAGCACAGGGTGGGAACTGAGAGCCATAGATTGTTCCACATCTTAGAAAGAATGCTTGTAGCAACGGATTGTTTGGTTTGGAGAAAAGAGAGAATGTGACAGAGAATTGGGTCTGGTAAGCTGCTTAGTGTATCTGCCATTGAAATTGAAGGAGGGGGACGGAACAGTGAAAAGTGAAATTAGTTTTTGCGTAAAACTAAACCCTAAACCTGAAGATGATGTATAACATTTGAGAAAACTATGGACTAAGTACTAGTAGCTATTATTTTATAAGATTAAATACACTTTTGGGGGCTAAAAGTACATTACAACGATTCTATGAAATATTTTAAATATGATTAAAGAAATAGTCAGGTACACCTAAAAATTTAACAACCGTGATTAATTGATTTAGGGTCAGAAGGTGCATATTAATTAAATTTTTATTTTGTTTTATTTATTAAAGATGATCGGGATTTGAGGAAAACTCACTTTTTTTAAATAATTTTTTATTTAATTGTTACTTATAAAGTTTAACGTAGTATTAAATGTAGTTTTGTCAAAATTATCTTTAGATAATTATTAAAGAGAGAAAAAAAAAATAAATATAATAAATAATTAAGAGTATTATAGGTAAAAAAAATAATAATTATATGAAAAGTAATAATATTGATTAGTTTTTTAGTACGTGTGAAAAATAAAAAAGTAACACTTAAAAAAGAACGGAGAGAATAATTTATATAAGCATTTTTTCATGTGAGAATTCGTTTTAATGAAGATGCATTCGATAATATAAAAATAATTTATGCATATGATTTAAAATTTTTAATTTAACTTGACAGAATATAAAATTGTTATTGATTGATAGTGTAAATTAATTTATATCCTCGTTATTATTCATTAAAAAATCAACAAATATATATTGTAGCTATCCATGTATTATTTCCAATAAATTTATATAAAAGTATTTTTATTTTTTACTTTAAAAAAGCAATTTATTAATGTTTATGTTTATGGCTCACGATAGGTTATGTTTAAATTGATCAATGGGATATTTAAGGGTTTGGGTAATTTTTTAAAGAATAAGACTAATAAAAGAAAGAAAATTATTGTTTTAAGAAATTCAACAAATTCCTATGAAAGTTCATCATCTCATAAGGATGGGACTGAAGATCCCTAAAACAATGAAGGCAGCTTAAAAGATACTTAAAATGAATTTGCTATAATCTCAAGGACGATTTAAAGGGTGGTGGAAAAAATAGATTATATCAATGAAATTTTTCACACAAAAAAATATAAACTTGTCTTAATAATAAAATAATATATTGCGTAAAAAAGTTGAATTTTTTTTAATATAACATATTTATTCAAAATAATTTTTAAATAAACAATAAATTTAAAAAAAGTGACAGAAGTGGTTGGGTTTGGATGAGGATTCTCCATATGAAATGGCTACTTAAGTCGTCATATTAGGATTTTTTTTATTGTTTTCTTTTTTAATTTTTGATATTTGTTTTAAAAACCTGAATATTTGATATTTGATATTTTAAAAAAATAAGAAATATTTAATTCTTGATATTTGATATTTTTGATTTTTTTAATTTTTTGATTTTTGATATTTGTTTAAACCCTACATTGTTAATTTTTGATATTTGATATTTGTTAGAAAAAAAATATATAATTCTAAAAAATAATAAATTTTATAAGGGTATTTAAGGTATATCATATATGCTCCGTACAATTTTATTTTTTTATAAATAAGACTGCACACTTATATAATTTTTCGCAACAATTTTTACCAATAGACTGAAGTCTTCATAATTTTGAATTCGGTCTAGAATGTCTGCATTTCTAAATCAACGTTCATCGTCGTCATCATCATCATCGGAGGAACTGTTTCCAACATTTCCTTTAATGAAAAGAAATGCCCTAGTTTATTTTGCAACAAAGCCTCCGATGAAGGTGCTACTGTGGAACACGCAGAATTTGGAGCATTTGCATAGGGAACTGAACCGCTGGCTAGAAGGAGATATTGTTGCAGGTGAAAAGATTAGGAAAATTGAGAGGTTGGTTGAGGAGTCAGGGAGAAACGGAGTTACTCGTGATTGGAGAAAAGTGGAAAATGATGCTGGTGTCCTTGTGATGATGTTAACACCAAAGAAGATAACTGTTAGACTAAGGCACGGATCTAGAAGGGGGGGTTGAATAGATCCCTTTTAAAAATTTGAGTGGCGCTACCAATAAAATTGGTTTTCAAAATTGTTTTCAAATGCGGAAGCGGCCTTGGAAAATATAGTCTAAAACGAACAACTATTGGAGAGCCGGATATGCGTCAAGCAGATGAATTTAAGACGATAACGGATAGTAAATCACTACACACTTTTATGCAAAACTCAGATGTGATTCACTCGTACTATTTCCTTATTCCAATGATCAAAAATTACACCAAAACTAGCAGCAAAATTAAGGCAATTTTAGTTCAGCACTTTTGTCGAACAGTTGGTGTGCACAAATACCTTAAATGATATTTGTGTTGAATGAGTGATTGAAAAAGCCTTAGTACAGTATTTCTATTGTACTTAGTAGTTAAAAAACAGTGTTTCACCAACTCACTCAATCAATACTACAATTTGACAAAATCACTTATTCTAGAATCACTTAATTTTTAAGCTGTAATTGAAAATGCAGAAAATAAAGGAACACAAGATTTGATGAGGCAGTTCCCCCAGTCGTCCTCGCGTTGGGGTACGTCTGCCCTCAATTCTACAATGAGAATTGAGATATGTATTGAATAGATATCACCTGTTTGGTAGAACAGTTATACACAAGAATCGATAGACAATTGATACAAACAATCTTAATGTTGCTGATAATTTCTACCACTTCTTGCCCCTTGATTCAAGATGAATCAAGTCCTCCAATTTGATGTGAATGACCTCCGATTGCAGCCACCTTATTGACAACTCTTCCGTTGATCAAACCTTCGGCACGGCTGATCTTAGACACACCCAAATTGAACCCGGAACGTCTTCAACCTTTCAACGCCCTAGCTACTAGATTGATCAACCTTCCGCTAATCAATCACCTTCGCACTCGCTTGATTGTTGAACCGACGATTCCGTAACAAAAGCCTTCAAAACCTGTAGTCTTGATAGGTAAAACCTCAAAGGTTTTCTCCCAAGAAACACCTGCACCAGCTTCCACTCGAACCGGATCTTCAATCACGCGTTCGAACCTTATCACCGTCGAGCAAACCACAAACCGCAGCAAAAAATTGATTATCTGTAATTTGAGGATTTGTGAGTTGATTGAACGATGAAGATGAAGAACACTGATGCACCTCTTTCACGTTTCTTGACCTGAACACTTTCTCACAATGCTTTCAAAAATGTTAGTTGTTAAAATTGAAAAGACAGCTATTTATAGTAATATACAAAACAGACAGTTGACAGATCAATGAAACATAGCAGAATTTCTGTTTCTGCGCGCGAACGGTCGACCATAGGGTCGGCGTGCGCTGAGCCGTGTGACACTCAAACTGTCATGCGCCGAGTCAGCGGTCGACGCATGATCTTCATGCGCTGAGCCGTCTGATTCTTAAACCTGCATGCGCCAAGTTAACGGTCGACGCATGACCTTCATGCGCTGAGCCGTGTGAACTGAATGAAACTGTGTGCTGACGGTATGGTCGGCTCATGGTTCAAAAATCTGCAAAAACATAAATTTCTACAGCTTTTTGTGCATTACGTCATTGTAAAAATTGAATCATAAGTAGCGTGAATGATTTAAACGAAAGAAGGATATCTCTTAGCAAGTTGTCATCATCAAAAACCAGAGGCACGCTTGTGTTGGTAGATACTTTGCCTTCACATTCTCCCCCTTTTTGATGATGGCAACCTACTGTTACGCAACACGTGATAGGTATAGGTATGCTCCCCCTTTCTTTTACAATTATAGCGGTCGTAATCATCGTCTATCTACTGCTCGGTTCTCCCCCTTTGACAACATCAAAAAGAGGTAAACTCGTGACACAATAACAACACATTGAATCATGCATAAATGAGATACCAACAGATGAGAAGTAAACAACAGTTATACATACGATGGAGATAACAGTTAATAGATTACAGAACCACAAAAATGTCATGATAGCAACATAGAAGTAAGCAACAATCATAGTGAGTTTGGGCAGAAAAGCAAAACACAACAAACAAAATGAATGCAAGCCAAAACAGGAAACAACAAATGACATATGAGCGCATGCTAATAGCCCCGTCCACGTCCGCGACCACGACCACGCCTGTCATAGTAATGAGGATGGCGTTGGGGATGAGCTAGATCAGTAAATTCTTCTGTGATGTTATTCAAAAAGTCAAGACTGTCGACAATGGCGCGCTCTTCAGCTTGATGACAGTGAGTTAGAGTCTCGAATCGAGCGTCCAGCTGAGTCGACATTCCACTGATCCGTTCATTTTGGTTATGCAGTTCAGAACGAATTTGTGCCATTCTTTCATTTTGATCCCTCATGAATTTTTGCTGTTGTTCCTGCATATTGGTCATAAAATTTCGCTGTTCCAACTGCATCGACTGCATCATTTCTAAAATCTCCGAATTGTTTGACGGTTGTTGAGGAGAAGGTGGGTCTGCAGTGCTTGGTTGATACGACTGATAGAATTTGCCAAGGGTAGTCCACCCGGTGTATTGCCATTCACCAGATACAAAAGTTAACAGGGTGCGCCGACCGCTGCCCTGTTATGGTCGACTCAATATGCAACAAACAGCAGATTTTTGTATTTTACCATATTCAGAGGTACATGCTATGCAAAAATGATGTCATGACATATAAGAAAAAAATATCTATATACATATGCAGTAGATGTCATACAAATTTAGCGTAGTATAAGCGATATGATTTGAGATCAACAGGATTATCAAACAAAGAGAGAGAGAAAGAACAATATCACCTTGATGCCTGATTTGCTTGATACACAACATACTTATACTTACACGAATATCAAATTGTTAGAAGTACAACAGCATGATTATTTGAATGAAATAAGATAACATCAGCAAATATTATTCCCGTTCCGAAATGTCGAGGATGCCAAGTTCTCGGCGGATATGAAAGAAAGGTTCCGTTGCTAGCGGCTTTGTGAAAATG